GTCATCAAAAACTAGATCGTCTTTGGCATCGAGAGTCTGTTAAATAAGATTTATTTAGTTAAATTATATAAAAATTTAATATTCTAATTATATCTTACCCTACCCATTCTAATTCCTTTGAGTATAATTAAAATATTACTAATATATCTATTCTAATTATATTCAGAGATTAGAATAATTGAGGTAAGATATTCTTAGACATAATTAGAATAGGTAAAAAATATTTATTTAAATTAAAAAAAATATACCTTTAGTACAGATTTATTTTTTATAATGCTATCAAAGCATTTAAAAAAGCTATTCCACCTTACTAAGCACGGTGTAATAAAATTAATATTTTTTTTCAATATACTTAATTGTTCATCACGCAATTTAGCAGTAAAATATACTGAATGATGAAAGAATGTAACTATTCGAATTGCATTTTTACTTGTATTTTTAAATAAAAGAGACTCCTTAAATAGTTCACCAATACAACAGTTTGCCTGATGGGCAAACATGGAATAAACACCTTATCACGCATTTCATTTCTCAAATAACGTCTAGCTGCAGCATATGCACCAGCGGAATCAGTTACAAGACAGTTCGCTTTTATATTTAATTCCTCAGCTTCTGCAAAAAGAGCACGAATCCTAGAAATTACTTCTTCTTGCCGTTGTCTTTCCCTACTTATATCATCAGCTCTCCAAATTAAAACTTCCTCTGAAGATGTAATGAATACTATTCCCATTATTTCTTGTTTTACTATATTACACCAACCATCAAAAGTGATTGTGACTCCAATTTTGTCTTTACTGGCAAGTTCCATAATTAATTCTTGTAGTTCATTCACCGCACTTGTTAAAATACGATTGCTTAGAGATTTTCTATCAGGCAATTTTAAAAGTGGACTAATAAACTGAAATAATGCTTTAACTTCAGGATTTTCAATCCACTGAAATGCCAAGCCAGCTGAAACAGTAGCACGAAGTAAAAGATGCTCAAATTTAGGGATCTCTGAAGCGTTAAGTGGACGTCCAATATATTGTAATACCTTGGTTTGTTTTTTTTTAGGAATAGAAGTTGATGTTGAAGACGAATTAGCAGGTGAACTATCAAAATTTACTAATGAATTAGAAGAGATATTCTCTTCAACTTCATCTTCGTCATCATCTTCATCGCTTAAAGACTTTGCATGTTTTTTTGGTAGTACTGCTAAGGTAAGAATAGCCTCTATTTGTTCTGGTAAATATTTTGCCGCAAAAAAAGAATATTCTCTTATATGATTAGCACAGTAACGTCGGGTATTGGTGAGTTTCATGCTTTCATCATTCAAAGCAACATCCTTTCCAACTGCTTCCATACAGGCCCGGCAAATACATTTTTTATTACTTTTATTTGCCCATTCATTTGGCAATATGTAAAAATATTCACTAAGTGGATGCTGTGGTTTTCCTCCTTTATGTCCCATTAATGTTATCGTTATAAAAAAATTTTAACGACAAAAACAATCAAAGTTATGTCCAAACTTGTATATAAATATAATTTATAGACTAATCATTATTAGTATAGTACGCGGTGGTTTAATTAGTTTCCATTGTTGGAAAAATATCGCCATCTTTACAATTTAAAACCGGAATAGTATGCAATTTAATTAATTTCCATTATTAGAAAAAACATTGTTATTCATACAATTCAACATGTGCAAGGCTCAAGTTCATATGCTTCTTGATGGAGTTGACGAGCTATGTAACAGATTCAAGAAGCATAAATGAACTCTAACTTTGTATATATAAAAGAACTTAATTTGTTAAGGCTATATGTTGTGGGATTAATTAAAGAGCGAATTTCTTCAAAATCTTGCTCAGTCGGTTTGATTAGGTAATTGTTTATTTCAGCAAAAGCCAAGTTCGACTTTTGCTATGACCTTATACTAGACGTATTCCAACGTTC